GTAATACTGTAGATTCTACCGCCCTTGGCCTCAAAGTTGATCCACCTAATTATAACAGCAGCTTTATGGATCCCTGCCCGCATCGTACTGAAAGTGGTGAATCCAGCAGTGATGTTCACAATGGAACTCGTGGTGTGGAAACCCCATCATCATCCCATGATGACAAGGTTCAGTGAGGCTGCTTTGTACCGTTGGTTAGAAGCCAACTTGGATTCCATTTGCTTCTTGTTCTGTACTTTGTGAGATGCTTTAGTGTCACATTCATTTATGCACGAAATCAGTTGATTTTTGTGGGGAGACTCTGGTTGATAGCTTCCTTGTTTACGATCATTTGTTCCTTTCATGTTGCTTCGATTTGTGATGCAACTTCTTCTAAATGGTTCCTGTGTCTTGTCTTTCATAATGTAAGCGCATCGAAGATGCTCCAAGCAGCTGATGCAACAAGATTTGTCATTTTGTTCTAATCAGAGTATGCGGTGGTTCCTTCACAGAAGCATTAAATGCTAACTCTACAATCTTGTCCATCAGCAACAAAATCTAGTGAATGTAAAGGCCAGATTTAGTGATCGCTTTCGCAAGATCTCGAAAGATTCTTCGAATTCGAGTGGTGCTGCAACGGCAGGTAAAGGAGTCGGATGATATTGACGACGATCTAAACAAGCATTTGTATGACAGCACAATCGACTAAATCATGTAAACAACACGCGAAATATGTTGGGGGTAGCAGCCAAATCCTCGGAATTCGCATTCAGATCAAACAGATCACGATGATATGACCGTCGGAGAGGGCGGTCCGTGACTCTATTTTCATGGAATTACCTGAATGCCCATGCAACAAACAAAATATCCCATCATGCTTGCTTACCCGCATCTTTCGGTAGCCAGACAATTGGGTGACTCAATTAATAGAGAGAAGGTAACAAATGTGTCAATTGGTTGGCAAAAAATAGTACTAGATTATAGTTAACTATAGAAGATTATCTATAATTATCCCTCATAATAATGATATAAATTACATAACATTGATGACAAATAAAATATTTTTTATTAATCATAACGAAGGAGGTTACCTCAAAATGCTTTCAATTACTTTCAGCATGAATGACAACATTAAGGATAAAATTAAGTATGATACTAAACATTAAAATGAATTAGGGTCCCTTCCCTTGTCTAATCTATATATAGGCCTTAGGCCTATGACTATCTATCACTGTAAGGTATAGACTAGAAGACACCATTGTTCTTGAGTAGAGTATTTGTCATCCACAAACTTATTCTTGAAGAACAACTATGACAAGAATAAGCTTTTCTAGTGTTATGATTTAACCCAAAGTATACTTTAGCTTTAAAATAAAATTACCCATTGATTCAAGTTGAAGAAATTTTTTTTCCACTTATAATGATAAAATTACATATATTAATCCTCTCAAGATTTCATCTTGATGAAAATCTTGTGTATTGGACGATGTTTATATATTCAACACAACAAAGATAACATGATGTAGCCAATACAACAACTATGGTTTATAATCCACAAGAAAATCTACCAGCTTCCATTTTGTAGTGCGCCCTTTCATACAGCCAAACAGAACAGATTCGGACACCAAAGAGATGTGGCATCGTAAATTGCATCTTTTAACTCCCAAGCAATCAAATCTGATTCTCTTGATTGCATTCCAGGATCGATAACTCAAAAATCAGTGCTTGCTTGCTAAAAAAGAGAAAAAAAATCCCTCCCTCCGGACTCGAGGAGACATCGTCAGCTTCTGCACCAATCTGGATCATCTAAACACTGGGATCTCCTACACTGCATTTTATGTACCACACTTCATCATTCACCATTGTCTTTAATCATGTTCAAAAATAGCATCATGTCAATCTTAGTCACCAAGGCTGCCACTTAATCATGTTCAATAATAGCTTCATGTCCAATTATAGTCGCCAAGCTGCCAAGTTGGCTGAAAGGAGCAACAATGGAAATCCAAGTTGTTCCTGCCAATGCCAACAGATACTCTCTTTTAGATGACATCATCTGCGGTAACAAAGGTATGTCCATGATTAGTGAATGCATCTCAGTACCGTCTGCAATAATAAAGTTACAGTTCGAAGTCTCATCTCTAAGCCGAAAAATAAGGAAGAGTTTCGACACTGATAACAGAAGGTTATTCATTTTGATAAGTACTGGTAAAGAAAAATCCTGTACCACAAAAGCCGACACATTAGGTCTGATGTTCCATTACTTTGAGACCTCAAGATACTTCAAATGCAATCCATTTTATTAGTCAGCACTAAGAGGCATTCAAATGACTGAGATCTTGTTTTTGTAGCTCTGTCCAACATTTGGAACCGGAACACAGTTGCTACTGATGACGATACATGAATAACTGAACAGAAGCTGTGACCAACCATAATATATGTTGGGTTGCATGATCTTTATGTGTTTAGTCATGGTACACCAATACAACCTGAAAGGCCTAAGCATACTCAGACTATTAAGGTGCATGTTCTCCCCTGAAAAGCATAAATAAAAAACTTAATTTGTATTGGTAAAGATTAACATCTACACTTACAAATTTCAAATTGAAATGAACAGCTGGATAAGAAATTGGGTGTATAACAATCAAGAGCACTTTCAAGGAAATATGTGAAATAATGTCTAATCAAGTGCAAGACAAAAATTGCACCTTCCTTCTTCAGCTTGAAAATAAAATGATTCATTTATTTTTTCAACTGCAATCAGATAAGTGATGGCGTAAATGAAAAGAAAAGCTATTTAAACATTTTTATTGAGTATGTTATCCTTTTGGCCTATATCACAAGGTAAATCTCTATGCTGCCACCAATTCCTTCTGTTTACCCTTTTATTTATGTTTATCCTCTTATTTCTCATTTTCCCATCATCTTTTTTCACCAAAGTGCCCATAACAGAATAAAGTTTACTGCTCCAGAGGAATCCCAATTAAGTCATGAACGATCAAGAGATCTCGACTTATATTCATTTGTAACCAAAATAATGCACTCAAGTTTGCTGAGTTTACTGAGGTCTCAAAGCCAACAATTGTAGTGGAATACAACTGGGTTGCATGTACAGCTTACATAGAACTCTTTGGACTAGAATGTAGGTAAATAACAAATATATACAGGAAATAGAAATGAGGTGACAAGAGACTGATGGCGCAAGGCAATTTTTTAAGTTAGGTAGTTAGGTCTGAAGGACTGGATGGCAAGAGGACAACAAACTATCAAAAGACAATATACTATATTACATGGTTATTACAGACAATCATTAGTTTTCAAACCCACTTCGATGAATTCATTTCAAGTAGACTATGCATTCATCAGAATAACCACTTGTACAATTAAAGGAAAAGAAAATTCTGACTTTGTTAGAGAAAGATAAAGAGAGTTTTAGCTTTTATTTGGCAAGCTATATCGCTTTCAGTGGAGCTCAGTAGACAGAAATGGTCCATATGGTTGATTCCAAAAAGTGGGAATCTTCAGATTGTTGCTGCTATTATACAGCAAACAGTAATAAAGATAATAGTAGGAATAGCAGAAAATAACGACTGCTACGGACAACATTCTATTATGCAACGTTAGCAAAGTCTGCCTAATTTGTAACCTATAGCACCTTTTACCAAAGGCAATGATAGGACCATGACTACAAAGTATCACAACCAACTCCATGAAAACTTAACATGGAAAATATTTTCGTATACATCACTAGTTCCTTTGTGACGTTTATTCATATCAGTTAGAAGACAAACTAGATTTGTCAAGAAGCAGATGCTTGATAGTCAAAATTTTACTTTAATAAATACTAAAATGGATTTGGTAGAATATATATAAACATCTTTTATACAATTCAGTTGTTGCTTATGCTCTGCAATCTGCAGTCAGCGTCTGAGGATTTTATGGAAGAGAAAAATCTGGCACTCAAGGATAAGTATCGTATGCACTAACAAAAAAAAAGTCAAGACTGAATTGGTGGAGGAAGAACAAGTACCTTGTAGAAGCAAGTCACTGGCTTAATACAAGCCTAGCATGTTCCTCACGAAATATTGGGAATTGATATGCCTTCCTTTCCTTGAACTTCCATTCCTCCGGCTGTTCCGCATTGGTGTTAAGTAAAACCGCAGCATACCATTATCACCATAGCTCGGAGAATACCTAGCACTTCGATTCCTCTCCAGCACATAATCCTTCCTCCTCTTACTCTGACCATTGATATCTAGGCTGCTATGCCTTATACCGCCATAGCCACCATGAACACCGAAAGAACTCCTTGAGCTGACAGTGCTGTTTCTCCATAAAATCCTCCCATTGTAACCCTGATGAGACTGTAATCCTGGCCAGGACTCAGATAAGGATCTCTCAACCACATTGGCGCCCGCTCTGCTGTTGCTTCTTCGCTGGATGAACCCCCAAATGTTCCATGCTTTGCTCCATTTCCCGGGCTTCTTTGTCGCAGCCCCCTCGCGGAGGTCTCTGAAAGATGCATCTAAGCTCCCAACATACTCGTTACTTAGAGATTTTGAACTCAAATCTCTCAAATCCCTGTCAAGTAAATTGGCATGGTGGAAGGGGAAGAACGTGCCACCAGCAGGGGAGACTTTAGCATATGAGACCGGCTTCAGTTCATTGAGCTGATGCTCGCGTATACTGTTGGAGTTGGACCGGTCAAGGCTTCGCCAGCGACGAGTGGATGAACAGTCCAAGTAGTAGTCCCGAGTTTGTGCAGACCCACCTGGGGTGACAGCATCCTTCTCGACGGGGATGAGGCCATCCGACCGGAGGACGGCAGCAGCAGGGGCATCCTCGACGACGGACAGCATTGCGGGGAGCCGGGAGAACGCCGCTTGGCCTCCGATCGAGTAGCCATCCCATGAGGCTCTCGGCTCGTCCAACGAGAACCTCGGGTCGTCGAAGGACATTCGGGCGGCGTCGAGGGAGAACCTCGGGTCCGTGTCGCAGGATCTCCGACCGAACGCATCCACAGCCACCTCCGACTGAGTGTCGCGTAGCCGTCGCGAGAATTTGGGCGGCTTCTCAGCGGACATCACGGCCGCAGCAGCTTCGCCTCGCTTCTTGTCCTTGTGCTTTCGCCGCCACTTGTGAAGCTTCTTGCTGAAGACAGAGGCCGCGAACCAGAAGCTGCCGGCGATCTCCTTGAGGTCTTTGGAAGGCAGCTTCTTCGCCTGGACGTCCTCATCGATGTGGTCCTTCATCGGCTTCACCTCTGTCTCCTCCACCGCATCTGCCCCATCCACGTCCGACGACACTCCCACTTGAAGCACCGGATCCGCCGCCCTAATCTCATCCCCGTCGTCCTCATCAGCTCGGGTTCCGAGGGAAGGCACCGTGGCGGAGGAAGAAGGGACGAACCTGAGGCTCCGGCACTCGAGTTCGATTCCCCCGCCCTCCATCGTCGCAGGCGCCGCGGCAGTGGAGGCGGAGGGAGCGAAAGGCTGATAGCCCCTACCCAAGTCGTCCTGACGGAAGAGGGACCAGAGCGTGTACCGGCCGCGGACGTCGCAGGAACTGCGCTGGGACTCGAAGCCGAAGGCAGAGGCGACGGCGCGGCGCGTGAAGGAGACGGATTTGCAGCGGCGGAGCTCGGGGCGGAGGAAGGAGGGATGGCTGGAGGCGGAGACCCTGGAGAAGACGGACTTCAGGGCGGAGACGGAGGAGGTGGAGCGGCGGCCGGGGGCGGCGTCGAGACCGGCAAGGCGCTCCCGGAGGCACGAAGCGCAGAAGCCCGTGACGGTCTCGTCGGGGTGGAGGTCGCAGGTGAAGGGCGGAAGCCGGAATGGCGGCGGCAAGGACCCTATCTCGAGAGCCATGCGGTAATCTCGCGGCGGTGCCTCTTCCTTCTCGCTACTTAGCTAACCAAGCTATCAAACATTTCATCGAACAGAATATGCTCATGCTCAATGGAAAACAAGAAGAGCAGGGAGAGAGAGAGAGAGAGAGATGAATGCGAAGGAATGAGAGACGAGAGTGTGTATTACTGTGATTAGTATCATCAGCATCGGTTGAGGATCGAAACAAAAAAGATAAAACGGATGGATGAGGAAAAGAGAAAAAGCTAATGTGCTTCCCACTTTGGCCCGTCGACCATTCGCTTCTTAATTATTTCTTTTCCTCTTTAACATCTCTCCTATTAAATAAATACTCAAATCAATTAGGCAAGAAGATTAACCATAGAAAACATATATATATATATATATAATATATTACAGTACGAGTACAAATAATGTTGGTGCAGCTGTCCCATTAGTACCAGCAAACACGGAGGATCGTCCTCTTATTGGAGGGCAGGCGTGGAGCCCACTCGCGAGGGGGACGTGGTGGGGTTTCATTTCAGGTCGTGGAGGAACGGAGGGAGACTGTGTTGAGACCACACGCTGCCATCCCAAAGCACCTACTGAAACCCCAAGCAGCGTCGCAAGGAGACGACGACGACGACGACTAAAACACGGGTTTTGGTTTCCGTAACATGGAAGGGTTACTAAGGTACGTACGAAGGTGTACTAGTACGACGAGTTCCAAGATTCTAAAGCGAAGGGCCACAGTCTGCATTCCACAGTGGTCCAAGTGATGAAGGAAGACAGCGACAGACGAAGGAACTCGATTGAGACGGGGAATGAGATGACTGTGACAATAAATATGATGCTCGTGTGTTTTCGGCAAACAATGCCAATGCACCCACTAAACTTTCGTGTCTTTGTTTATCCTCCTCCTCCATGGTTGGCATTTGCTCCTCTGATGATGGGAAGAAAAAGGAAGCAACAAATATTGAGCTTTTCCTTTCTTTTTCTTTTTTTTTTTGTCTGCATGTTGAATATATCAAAAACTGCAACATCCAATCCAATCCAATCAAGCAATGGCAACATGCAATGGCAAAAATGGTACTTGATGTCGTGGAACGCCTTCATCTCTATGGTTTGCATCCTAGCTCCCTTGTCTTCTCCATGAACACCACGAATCTTTGTCTCATCGATCACCTGTTCTTCTCACCTTTCAAAGAAGCCTTCAACATCATGGGAGCATTGAGGTAATCGAGCTTCGGTGACCACCTGAGCAACAGGATCCACTAGCTATTGTTGCTTCAATTGGCAACCCTCACGGGGTTGTTTGCCTCCTGTAACTATTACTGACACTCACTTGAATCACTCTCGAGAAAGAAGAGGAAAGGGGAAAAAATATTTATATTTATTTATAAATAGATATTTTAAAAATATTAAAAAATAAATAAAATGAGACTATAAGAATAGAAATGTCGTATATAATAACTCCAAAATTTGAAATGAGAGTTAGTTACGTAAAAACTTTCCGTTTTGAGGCTTACCAAAATTTGTACCAAAAAACAAAAACAAAAAAAAAAGACAACACGTGTACAGAAGAGGATAGATTTAAATCATGCATAGGTGATGAATCCACAGATATACTTCGTATCTATCTATCTATCTATCTATCTATCTATCTATCTGTCTATCTGCATCCCCACCAGTAGGAGACTCTCATATTATCTATCTTAGACTTCACTCTTCGTATGAGCGAGTGATTGGCCTAAAGAAAGAGACTGAGCAGATTTATGCAGGTTGGTGGGGCAGCTCATTGGATCAACCCATCATGACTGCTATATCACGTGACATTTTGATGACCTTTTATTTGATCCACCAGTGAGAGAATGAAGAAGGCATCAATCTGCCTTGTTAAGCCTCTCTACCCACCACCAACACTTGTGAGAGAACAGATCATCCCACTGCGTGCGGCGGGGTGATCCCAAAGAAAGAAATGGAAGCTCGCGCCGGCATAGGGACAAACATCTCCCTTTCCCTTTGCTGAGGACTCACAGTGGCATATTAATTGATGGAGCGTCGTGCTGCATGATTCACGCCACTCTCTTGGGGTTCACGAAGGGACCCCATGGCATGAGAAACGTTGCTCCAAAAGCGTCGATGGAATGCGGTGGACATCATCGCTTCTTGGGTGAAGGGGGGCGTTCAGCATCCACAGTGAAAGGCCACAGGAAAAGCAGGACTGCGCCTGCTGAGGCTGGCTGACGGAAAAGCCAGAAAGATGAAGCTGTTAACAAAAGCAAAAAAGCATCAGCTGCAACATTGGCAGGTCATGGAGAGGAGAGGAAAGAGAAGGAAAGGCGTTTGAGATTGGGTCCTCCATTGCCTTGCCTTGCCTTGGTGCTCACCACCGCTACACATTTGCTCGGACAGTCTATAGAGAGAGGGCAACCAAAGGGTAATCTACCCAGCTTTACAGTTATATTATTCAGTTATTGTGGTCTCTTCGCTAGCTAACTTGGCTTTTAAACAAAGGTAATCTTAAATATATGCTCTAATTTCTCTAACATATATTTGAAATATTATTACAACAACAACAACAACAACGATCTCTCTTCCCCTTTTTTAACTTCTTTTCTTCTGTTTCCTAATCTTCATTTGGAGACTAAGAAATAAGATGACTCCTATCAGTAACACCATTTGAATCTATCAAACCATGGGTGGACTCTCAAAAGCTTTGCGTTCTCTTTCCTTTTTATCCCTCTTTATTTCAATAACATATATAAATGATAAAACGTGGCAAACGGTCCCGCTCAGGTTCGCCCCTTCAACCGTCCAAATCAATGTAGGAGACAACGATGTGAGAGACATGATCAACACAATTGGTAGATACATACATTCTTTTGTAAGCCCTCCAACATCTTAAAGAATGCAAATCAACTCTCATTAAAGTCCTTAAAAAATAAATTCCTTCAAAGAAATTGGAGTGTTAGACAAGTCAATTGGTTATAAAGCCAAAGATTAGGAATATTGGCAAGTTCATGTTGCGAGCAAAACGATTCCAATATCCAAACATTAAGGATATTGCCACGCCAAAGCCAAACAAAAAAAATTATTTCTGGTAAAAGCGTCTAACCTTTCATAGACACTGAACCGCCCACTCAGATCACCAGGATGCACAAATGCACGGATAAACGATTCCTGTTTCAACGGCCAATAAAATAATTGGTTTCAAACATATTCAAGAGGAAATTTGAGGCCAGCTGAGGCGTACCTGTAGGTCATCTCAAGCTCAATTCTGCCGTCCCAGCATGATAGTTAGCATAAGATCAATTTGTCACCAATAAGAATCTTTTTAAAGGCTGGTACCTGCATGATGCCCAACAACAGACAGATTCCACGATAGATACAGTCGCCACATTTACAAACAAGATTTTAAGCCTCAATTCATCGAACATACAAGCAGTTTCAAAGACCGATATTGATCTCCAAGGGCAAAAAGTATTACAACAAATTAATTACATGTTGCTGCCGGAAGTCATTCCTTGTGGATTAGACAAAACAATAACTGGCAAATCTAATAGCCTGCAAGCTCTACACCTCACCCTTCAGAGATTTACAAGCTCACATATTCCTGATTAACAAGTGGTAAGCCTGATTAACGAGTAGTCTGTGCAATTCCATTCTTCTAAAGTGTGGAACTTTTTGTCGCCAAATCATAGTCCTCACTCTCATTATGCTCCTCCATGTTGCCTCTCACACTATCATCAACTTCGTGAACAGCACCTTTTTCTAGGGAACATAAACCCTTGCAAGATAAGTCGGTCAAAATAGTATCTACATCGAACTGACTGCTGGTAGCAGCAATGGCAGAATGATTGTTCACCTTCTGAGGCAAAGCATACTAACAAGTCAGTACCAACTAAAAGCAGAACAGAAAGAAATCAATATAGAAGTAAATGTGAGGACAAGTTACTGCATTAACTCACACTGTCACAAGTAAAATTCTCACTTAAATTGTTGAAAACAGCAGGGAGAACATTCATCAACCGTGGACCTGATGCAATGGGTGCTGAAGCCAAAAGCATCTCAAGTGTTTCTCTGGCATTTTTCTCCACTACAGATTCTGTCTTTGGAATCAGAGGATTGACAAGGTTTGGAAGCAAAGGTGAAATGGCTGTAGATATAGCGGGTCCAGCACTGACAAGATAACCCTGACCAGAAGAACAAACATCAATGAGTGGAATGTGCACGATGGGGTCTGACATGAAAGGCGTAAAAATTGGAAGTTGTTGCGAACATGGCAAGGTAAGTGACGACACAGAAAGTGGTGCAGGGACTAGTGGGTCAGGGACAAGACTTGGGAGAGTCAGAGTTTGAAGCTCAGCAACGTCAATGGTTAGTCTCGCTGGCACAGATGTAACTACAGGTGCAGTTGCAGACAGCAGCGAGGACAATGGTGGCAGGGATATGGATTCAGGAAATGTGGCTAACAGATGTGAAGGGGCTACTTCATACTGCAATGAAGATGGGCAAGGGGGACACCAGCAGTAGTAAGGAGAATACAAGGAACTTGATCCGGTCTGTGAAAGAGGAAGGTGAATTGACATGGGGCTGAATGACGAGAGAGGGATAGGTAAGACATCAGGCAAGCAACAAGATAGGGTTGAACTCGGTGCAGTGCTCCTTGAATTGTCATCCTCACATTTGCTGGTAGCAGTACATGAAGCAGAAACTGAAGTAACCAGTTCAGTGGTTCTCGTCAATGTGATCTGATGGATATCTCCATGCCGCTTGATTTTCTCCCTAGCCCCACTTCTTATAGAGGAATACGGTCTTCGCATCTCGTCCTTGAAAGTGTTTAATCTCGGACTAAGACTGCCCTGGCAGAGCGAATGCACCTTTCCTATATGTGCTTCTACAGCACGCAAACGTGACGACTTGGAGAGTGCACATGAAGAAGAATGGCATTCAGTTTGATTGGTAGTAGAACCACTATGTAAACCATGTGATGAAGCAGCTGAATTAGCTTCGGCAGCATTCGAGCACCCAAGAAGATATGCCCGAAGATGAGTTGCAAATGAATCAAGGCGTGATACAGAGATCCCAGTAAGACTGGATAAAGAAGGCTTCCTTCTCAGTAGATCTTTCATCTGTTGCATAAATAAATCAATTACTACTGATATTAAGGGTTGCTGAAACCAAGAACCTACAACTACAAGTACTTTAGTGTATTGCCTGTAATCCAGTTGGTTAAAAACACCACTACTTTCAAGGATGTCAC